CACTCCAGCGCTGTAGGATAGGTATACCTGACTTTTGTAGCTTGCTACTGTGTGTGTGCATGTGTGTGTGTGTGTGTGTGTGGGGACCAGACCCAAGGTTTATGATTTAACTTCATTACAGTGCTTCAATCCACCTAATAAACCAGAATTTTAAGGATCCCGAGTTGGACATTTGTAGCCAACAGGACAGGCAAGCCAAAACAAACAGATAGGAACACTAGGGAGGAGTAAGCATGCCAGACAGGAGAAAAAAATGGGCCTACAGCCTGCCAGCCTGTGCATCACACAGCAATCGCCCAACATCACCTGCAAGCTTGCTCAGGCAGAAACTATAACACTGCATCTCCAGAGTGGAGTGAAGCACCGTTCTTGCAGCCTTGGCGGAAAGCACGAATGTCTCAGGTTCTAGGAACCATTTACAAATGCTCTGTGCAACCTTCTGGTGGTGCTTGGTCTGGTCAAGAAACTCAGTAAGGCATTCAACAGAGGTTCGGCAGAAGTAGGAACAGGTTCCACCTCTGGTGTAGGAACCTTCCCCATGGAAGCGGGGACCGGAGCTGAATTGGGGGGTGCTATCTCATGAGGCAGGACTTCCATCAACTCATCTTCAGAGGCAGAATCAAAATCTGACAATGAGGAGGAGGAACTGTACGTGTCCTGCACCGAGAGCTGCTGAGCCCTGGGGGTAGTTTTTGCCCCCTCACCAAGAATCTCAGCATCAGGCCCTGTGGGAGCAGTTCCCTCTGAAGGACCTTGGAGGGGGACATGAGTCCCTGATTTCTTGGGATGGATGCTTTCCTGGGCCAGGCACTCTTGCTCCCAGAAGGCCCAACCTCCATGTCAACCTCATCAGACTCAGGGGGCTGAGACATGCGGGGGAGGGCCAGCAGACTCCTCCACCACCTCCCCTGTCCCCAGCTCACTCCCAGGCCTGGGGGAACTGCCAAGGAAGCAGGCAAGGGTTGGGGGTTCCTGCTCACTAGCCTCAGCTCCCCTTGAAGTAATGGAGAGTTCTCGAGGGGATGATGAGGCCTTTTTAGAAGACCCTTTCTGTTTCTTGGACTTTCTCTTCCCAGCAGGAGGAGCCAAAACTTCCCCTGTGGGAGGAGGAATGAGGGGTGGCCAGGTCCACTGGTATGAAGCTAGCTGACTCTAATGAAGCAGGGAGTGGCTGGATAGAAGGCCCATCCCCACCACCTGATGGGGATGCCGCACCAGAGGCAGACAAGCCATCATTGGGCACAGCCACAGGCAGCTCCGCTGCAGCCGACTTCTTGCTCAGGCAGTGGGTAGCCAGATGGGACCTGCTCCACAGCAAAAGCATGAGGTGTCCCCAGTGAGGAGGTACACCTCATACCACTGTCCATCAATCAGGAAGGACATGGGGTGGGGCAAACCCCTACCCTCCCTGTCAAGAAACATGAACATCTGCCCTTTCAAGGATAGGACATGCTCAGGGATCTTGTTGCCAAGCAGCAGTCTATGAACAGGGCCCATCACCATGCCATAAGGGCTCAGGCAGTTGGTGAGCTCATTGTCCAAGAGAAATGGGGGCACACTGGAGGCTACCACCTGAATGGCTGGTGTGTCCACGGGTGTCGCAAAGCAAAAAACACCTCTGACAGACACACCTGCTACCACGACCTCAAGCACCAAAGCAGGGGAGCTGAGGTAAATTATAGGGACTGAACTCACCCAGGCAGCATAAAGGACATTTTTTCAGCCCACCAGTGCCCCCACAGCAGTAGCACACTCCTCCACTCCAATGGAGGGAGGGGCATGAAGCCAGAGACCAAAACTCCAGTCCAGAGGGGCAGAAGCCCCAGCAGTGGGCCACTGGGGGCTACCTTTAGCCATTCCAGCCAAAAAAATGGTTAACCCTGCAAGGAACCAGAGGGGTGGGGGATGGGCAGCCCTCTGCTGGCAGGGAAAAAAGAAGCTGGAAAACAAACAAACAAAGAAACACCAGAGGAGAGGAGAAAGGTG